ATTGTTAGGGCGCGTGGCGTGTGTACAGGAATACCAGTGTCCGCGGAAGGACTGCAGGATATGGAATCTACTCAATGATGATCCTTCCCCTAGGCATGATATGGTCGGTACAAATAGTAGAATCCTGTCGTTGTTGAAATGCCGTAGAATATGCCTGCAGATAACAAAAATCCTGTCCAGGCAGTCATCAATCTGCATGAGGAAACAAGATGGTGGTTATCAATGAATGGGCCTCGATCGAGGACCTAGGTTCATCAATCGGTCACTCTGACGAGGCTATAAAAGTAGCTTGCGCTTACCAAGATCCCATTGCTCTCTCGCAGGCCCAGTGATGGCTGTCGAATTCGACGGGACCTTGCGTCATAAATGCCCCTCTCGACACCACTCACAAGGGCTAAACTCTCACATAGCATGACACTTCAGCCACATTCCGTCTTTCGCTTTCGATAGGTCCTGTCGGCTGTGTATTCAAGATCAAAAAACATTGGACACCGCCTTGGACATGTTCCACATGGGTCATCGAGATGGAACCTTTGACCTTCGGACGGGATGTCAACATAGAATCCATGTAGCTAGACATAGAACGATCCAAGGCAAACATTCTTCTGGAAGAGAAGTCGTAGAACAGCTGCTATGTGGTCATTAATAGCGAGTCTCGACGATGTCGAAGCAGGTGTGTGTCCACGCTTTCCCCATGGAAATAGAGAGGGGAACTGGTAGGGCGAGTATTACCTGTATATCGACAAGTAAAAGGCGGCCATCGTCGTTCCGTTCTTCATCAAAACCAACCAATTTATGGTCGATTCTCATGAACAAATACTAAAAAGCTTCAATATAAATCCTGGCGTGCCGGACCTCAGATCTCTTCCCCCGACGACAAAAGCGAATGAGGTTGGTGGACGATTGCATCTCAGCGATCTCTCGAAGATAACTACTTGGTCCCTTTTAGACACTAATGATCGCAGTGTCTATTTGGGTGAGCTCTTCTGTGTTTTTCATGTTTCTCATTTCCGCTGTCAATCATTCTGTGAGCATTCAACATCTGATATGGAAATCTATGCCGATCATGCAGAGAACCATGAGCAGAGCTGGGGGATTTCTGAAGCTGGCAGCGCATTTCAGTCTCCGCAGCAAGAGAATGCTCACAGCAAACGATGATGGGATATAGAATAATCATTGAAGCAGATGTATTGATATTGAAGAGCTTATCTACTGTCTGATACGTGATTTCAAGTTTGAGGGTTTGGGGAGAGTCGTACTAAGATCTCGGTCATGGCCGTGGATTTTCATCGATAGATTAGGTCAATACATTTGAGTTCGCGATGCTGTTGCGGCTTCTTCCATTATGCTCCTCCTCGCGTCTCCAAAAATGGGGAACGTGGCTGGTTACGTATGCAAGGTCTCACTTTGAACTTTGATCGAAGACCGCAAAAACAAATATATCAGCGTTATAGTCTATTTCTAGAAACACAAAAGCCAATCTATCTTTGACTCCCTCCACTTGATCAGTTGATCCGCAAACCCAATCTTAGGATCAAACCTCCCACTATCGCTTTGAACTACACAGACCTAGGCAGGAAGCGACATGATGCGAGTCTGACGAATTTCAGCACCCTCATGGCCGAGGTATCGCTCGCTCTTGTAACTAGTAACAAGATCAGTGAAGGCCCAAAATAAAGGATTGTAAGTGAGCCGCTTACGTGAAATGGAGGTTTCCAAGAGCAATAGTCCGGCAGGCCTCAATGTATCTGAGCACTTCCTTGTCCACACTTTCCCCCCAAATTGGCAACTCCGCTAATGCACGATACCATGAACGATAGCACTCCAGTATCATATCGCCAATCTGATCAATGGCTTCCTGTTCACTAAAGCCTTGGGCCCTAAGCAGCAAGATGAGGTTGTGCTCGCCTCCTTGTTCCTGTATGAACCTTTAATCAGTATGGGCTCGCGTAGCATGTAGACTAAATAACTCACCAAGTCTTTGCGATATGACAGGATGTCGTTGACGCTATATTGAGTTAGTAAGATACAAGGCATAAGTCGACTTTACTCACAAGATGACAAGATCAGCAGAGACTCTCTCGCATTCTCGCACAGACGGATGGCTAAGGTACTTTTGTGAGATGTTGATGTCATGAGCGTACCTTCATGGCAACCGGTTAGTAGGTTTATGACGGCAAGATTAGAAAACCTCTTACTCAACCAGGGCAAATGATGGCTCTGTTCCAATCGTAGCCCGTCGGAAGTTCATGTACTCATCAACAGTAAGTGTGAAGGCAGACTGCGAATGTGCCACTTGCACTTGACCAAGAAGTCCATCAAAGTACATCTTGTGGGAAACCTTCCAATGCTCTTGCAAATCTAGAAAAGTGATTTAGTGAGAAGACGAAGCCACACTTGATATTGTCTCATCATACCTTCTGATGATCTCTGTTGATCTGTTAGCCGAGTGAAAACATGTGTGGACGATTTACTTCGGTAAATGACATACTTTCTTCACACGATCCCAGGTCGTCTGAAAGACATATCTGATTGGGTTCTCATGAAGCTGCACCGGTGGACATCGGTCCTCCAGGATGGCCCAGTGAGCATCCAACTCTTCATTCGCTTTGACTGGGTCGTTTTTCAGGTGACCCTCATCAAATTCTACATGGTGTCAGTCGCGTCGAGAAGAGGTACATGAAGAGTACATACGGTCATCAAAGATGAATACCTATGTCAGTAATCAAGGTCAGTCACGCATCAAGAGAAGTGTGACAGCACTGTTACTTACCCAATTGTGCCAGTCGACCATCATGCGAAGGGCCTCTTCGTCAGCATATGGAGCCGAAAGCGCGCACATCAGAGCAAAATCAGCTTTGACGTTCTTCTTGGCTGCGGTCTCATCAAATTGGAACACCCTAGACGACGCCTTAGTTCGAGATGTTTGCAGGAGGGTAGGTAGGTATTGGCTCACTCCTTGATCCAGTTGTCTGCCCCAAGCTTGACCTTCTCATAGTTGGCGTTGACAATAGGTTCAGTTGAGAGAATTGAGGAACATAGATCCGGAATGCGCACGGATTTGCGTGCTGAACTGACACGCCCCTTCATGAAGGAAAGGTTGGAGGAGATGGTTTCATCATCTGATTCAGGGGGTGTGCTCGAGGTATCCGGAGACCCAGGAACGTACTCAGGGGGGGAAGAAACCCCATACTCGCTCGCATTCGAAGACATGTTGTCATGAGAATATTGAGAGATTTTGAATGTTTGAGATACACTCGCGTAGCTCATAAAGGTGTGAATGTCCAGTTTTCGACGATGGTCTTGGGAAAGCACAAATGAGGCAGGAAACTCGAGACCATTATATAGTTGAAATAAGAGCGAAAGGCTGGGGGCTTCATCATTGTTTTTGGTCTGTCTGCCTAACAGCGCCTCCGTGACCCCATTCACAACTTTCTGTCATTTTCTTGGACGCTCAGAAATACTCAAAAATCACAATAGCACCAACACGATATCTCACTAAGGCTGTTGAGCCCCCCCCCCCCCTGCTGGGATCCCCACATCCATCTTTCTTCAGCAGTCGGGGCAACACGGCCCCCAACTGCTTCCTCCGGGGGCGTCAGAATGGAGCCTCTTTTGACCCGGAACGCCCGAACCACAGAACTCACGTCATCTCAACCTCTTGTGCCGCAGGAGTTCGTTGCCCTCAAAGAGGCTTATCTTATCCTTATGACTCGTAAGTTTCTTGGTTTCTGACGGATGATTGCAACTATGGACCGAAAAGAGCTGAACGGAACTAATGTGTAACTTCGTCCAGCTGACTTAGTGGCTGCAATACAAGCCACATCTTGAATGGCACCAATAATCCTGCAGGATCAGTTAGATTTGCCATAAGGCTGAAGTTGCACTTGTACATGGAAGAGACAGGATAAAAATGGTCAGTGGCCTAGCAAACACGATGGAGGAATATTCTAAGGTACACTTTCCTGCTAAATCAAGAAATATGTAAAATTCCAAGCCTAGTGCGATAACATTCATGCAAAGAATGAAGTCATGGTACACCTACTGGGAGCCGAGTGAGCAAGGCTTCAGGTGAGATATCTCTCATGGGCATTGGAAAGCTGAAGCACAGCACAAGATCTTGTCCACGTGCCCGGTGAGTCAGAATTGATGCAAGGCCTTTGATAATCTATTGATTCCCAACATTCTAGACTCGGCCATCAGAATATGATTGTAATGGAGCAATTCGCAGAGAGTGCCTAGAAACGGGAACAGACTCTGCCGCATATGGGGTATTGGGGTAAACCCCGGTCAGAAATGTGCGAAAAGGGAAAATGCTTCGGCTCCCCTACGCCGAGAAATTTGTAACGAGCCAATGAGAGCATTTACATGTGTCCTGTGTTGGTACAATATTGTCTTACTGCTGGAGGCGCAGCCCCGTTGCGACCATGGGGGCAGAAATCTGGCTGTTGGTTGAGAGAAAACAACTGTCAGCATGCGATAGCTGAAGCCAGAAGATAGACGTTTGCCGGGGGCTCGGGGGCGGCGGATCAAAGTCTGTTTTTTCTTCTGGGGATAAAATGATCCTGCATTGAGAGGTGGAGTTGATGCTGCGGAACGATTGGCTAATGCATCGACACTGTCCGAACCAACCAAACAGGCCGCATTACCAGTCGTAGTCGTCGGGGGAAGTGAAGTATATATATTGTGATTGGCAGTGTTAATCGACAGGACAGCCCGAAACCAATGCAAAGGTGCGGGGGATTTCATGGAAAAAGTGTCACATTGCATTCATACCGCATGAATATTGCAGAGAAGATGTCTTGGAAATATGCGTGAGGGGTTAAAGAGCTTGCCACAGACATTCAATAAAGTCGTCAGTGCCATTCCCGTGTTTTCTTTTGAAAACTCTATCCGGCCTTTGATTTTGCTTGAACTATCTTAGTCTCTTGAGACAAGTTCACCTAGAATTCTATTGATTTTTCTTTTGCATGCATGAGCTCCTGCCTTGACCCTTAACCATGGCTCTGACATATTCTGTGTCGAGCAGCATACAATTGCTTTTGCTGTGGGGTCTGCTGTATTCCATTGGGCTGTTGCTTCACAGGCTCTTCTTTCATCCTCTCAGAAAGATCCCCGGACCTTGGTGCGCCGCAGCGACTAGCTGGTACGAATTTTACTATGACGTTGTTCTGGACGGTCAGCTCGTCAGGCAATATCCGATTCTGCACGAGAAATATGGTGAGCAGTGCGGGCACCAGACTAAAGAAATACAGTGCTTACATGCAATTCGTGCAGGGCCTGTAATCCGCATCTCTCCCGACCGCATACACGTTAGTGATCCCAGCTTTTTCAGGGAGGGAGTTCTGTTCCTGAGGAACTACCAAAGAAGCAACTCATTTCGTGAACAGGGTTTATGCGAATAACAGCCGATACCTCAAAGACTCGGGTTTCTACCAGGCTTTCGGCACATTGAAATACTCCATTGTCATGCTTATTGACCCGGAAGAGCACAAGCAGCGAAGAAACACCGTCAAGTCCCTTTTCTCGACCAGACAGATGGATCAGCTGGCTCCTTCGATTTTGGATGTTGTCAGGAGAGCTATGAATAGGGCACGGAGATCTTACGACGGAGGAGCCCCGCTGAACATTCAGGCCTTGTGGTCATCTGTCACAGTAGGTCTTAACATGACAGGTGGAGGAAAGAGCTTCGCTAAGTTGTACAAAGGTTGACACGATCATGTCTGTTCTATTTGATCGACAAATGAACTTCGTGGACTCAGACGAGGAGATGCCCCCTTTTCTGGACGCCATGACGAAATTCGCAGACAATTTTCTTCTCACGAAACACTTTCCCCTGATGAACCGCCTCGCCGTTGGCTTGCCAATGAGCATAGCTGGTATGATAATACCAGGATTCGCGGCTTTCCGAAAGGTACATCACCAAAACTCTAGAGACTGCCTTTCTACTGACCTTAAATACCAGCAATGCTCGGAATGGATTGGAGAAATCGAAGATAAGCAAGCTAAAGGCCTGACAACAGCGTCTGATGGACGGCCCACTTACTTTGATCTGCTGCTACGCTCCAATGCTAAAATGCCCAATGGGCTGAACAGAGAGGCGCTTGTGGACGAGACTTTTGTGCTTTGCTTTGCTGGTACCGACACCACAGGTATTGGTCTTAGTCTCGGGACCTACTATCTTCTGAAGAACCCTGAGAAGCTGAACAAGATGCTCGACGAGTTGAAGACGGTGAAGACAAATGCCGAGGGACTTTTCGAGTACCGCGAACTTTGCAATCTCCCATACCTGGTCAGTAACCCGGCTAAGCCTCGCATAATCCCACGCTAACCTGCCCCTTGACCGCTGTGTGCAAAGAGATTCTTCGCTTGTCTTCACCAGTCCCCGGAATTACTCCTCGCAGAGTTCCTGCTGGAGGTGTATACGTCGCTGGTCATTTCCTTCCGGAAGGGGTGAGTTTACAGACTGCTGCTTATTGATCTCATTACTCAAACTCAAACAGTCGACTGTATCTCAAGCGATCAGAACCATCCACGACAACCCGGATATCTTTCCGGAGCCAGAAAGGTTCATCCCAGAGCGTTGGCTCGGAGAGAATGGATGGGAGCTAGAGAAGTGGTTCGTTCCCTTCAGTAAAGGGACACGTGCTTGCATAGGATTGAAGTGAGTGCCCGTCGTTGGCTAAGTTCGTGTTCAGAGACTGACACTTGAAAGCGTCGCTTATATGGAGATGTATCTCTGTCTTGCCAACTAATTCACCCGCTTCAATATGAGTCTGTACAAGACAGACGATAACACGACACAGTGGGCGGATGGTCCTGCGGCTAGAATTCGCGAAAGTGTCAAAGTCAACATTGATGCGGTCAAAATGTAGTTGCTTCAAGATTTTATCTCTGGTAAATCTTTGGGCTATTCGTTACTGAGTTGCGATCGAATAAACCAATAAGCTACATAAATATGTAGAGCTGTGAGGGTTTTCTTCGGTATTCCATTGCCTGTCAAACATCTTGTGCCAGATACTGTGCCGCTCACACCTCTTCTCTTGGTGGCGTGCATACAGCTACGCAGTCGAATTCTCAGCGACCAGTAATATCTGGAATTCAGCGGTAGAAATCATGCAAACATCCGTTTGCTTCTGTAATCTACATGACCAAGCCATTAACACTCCACTTTAGACGCAACGAGACAGTTTCGCCGCAGACGTGCATATAATTCTCTCTTTCTGTTGGTTCTTCTTTAAATTGTATGCTGCATCTTTCCGGCCAAGAAAGAGGGGTTCTGGTCTCACGTGTTGGGAGTGCCCACTACAAGACGGTCGAGTCGCCCGCGAACTTTGCTATCTAGGTGTCCCAATTCTTTCTTCCGAGCGAGGAAGGGTCACACTGCTACCAATATTGGCTTCAAATCAGTAGTTTCATCTCAGTGTAGAGCCCATCATGAATCAGCCAGTAGGAGACCAACAGGTCGATCAGGAAGTCGAACTTGTCCCTGAGGATGAGGTAATGATGAAACGATTGTGGTTTGCGACTTTGAGAGGGGTATGGCTGATTTTAATCGCAGCTTTCAGACGAAAATGGGGTGGAAACCCATGTATGTTTTGCTTCCCAATGCCTTCTTCACGCCATGTGTTGCTAATGTCGTTTCCAAACAGAGTCTTGGCTCGTCAACCACTAGCTTAGCCGACTCAATCCGCGACTATGTCTTCGAAAATGGCAGAACATACCATCGCTACAAGGAAGGGAGTAAGAGACTCCTACCCGTTTCCATTTTCCCGGCGACAATACTCACAGAAACATCTAGAATACAGCATGCCAAACGACGAACGTGAGAACGATAGAATGGGTAAGAAATCCCAGCCAAATCTCTCGTTTTGCCACGATTTCGTGACTTAACAAGAGACTCTCTTACAGACATGCAACATCACATGTTCCTCATGACACTCGGCGGGCGTCTGGGTATCTCTCCGCCTTGTCAGCCGGGTGCGCATATTCAACGTGCTCTCGACGTAGGCACTGGCACTGGCATTTGGGCCATCCAATATGCAGAAGATCATCCCGAGGCCGAGGTATTTTACACCGACGAATAATCCTAAATCATACTAGCTAATTTGCACTGTCCCCAGGTGTACGGCGTAGATCTGTCTCCAACCCAGCCAGATTTGTACGGTGAATATGAAGCGAGCAGAAAGAGAAAGACTGACAGATGTCTCTTAGCGTCGTACCAAACGTCAAATTTGAAATTGACGATATCGATGAGGAATGGACCTACTCGCAACCGTTCGACTACATCCACAGTCGCTTCATGACTTCTAGCATTTCAAGCTGGAAATAGTATTTGACCAAGTGCTACGAGTATATCATCCGAACTTTTGAAGACATTTTTGAACTTTCACTGCATTCATTCCTTGGTCTAAATCGCATCGCTCACAACATGGCAGTAATCTCTCCCCTGGAGGCTATGTCGAACTCCAAGAGGCCGAGATGGACCCCCAAGCGGATGACGGCTCGTTTCCGCCGGACTGCGCACTCGCCCGTTTCGCTATCCTCTTAAAGGAGGCCGCCGCCAAATTTGGCCGTGTCTTCATCGAGCCGCCTAAACTCAAGCCATTCATGGCAGAGGTTGGTTTCGAGGATGTGACCCTTGTCCGATACAAGTGGCCGATTAATGATTGGCCCAAGGACCCCCGATGGAAAGAGCTCGGAGCTTGGAACCTCGAGAACAACCTCGGCGCTGCTGAAAGTCTTGCCATGGCACCGCTCACCAGAGCGCATGAGTGGAGCCGTGCTGAGGTTGAGGTGTTTCTTACGGAGGTTCGGCAGGACTTGAGAAACAGGGCTATCCACGGATACTTTCCACTGTAAGCCAGCTATTAGCTCGTGATGAGCTTTCATAACGAATACTAACAGTGTTCTTAGGTATTTCGTTTACGGTCGAAAGCCACTGTAGATGGACGATCTTGCTTAGCAAGGCGCAGGCATATGAGAACCACTATTTTCAGTGAAGTCTTGACTCTTGTGTGCACTACATTCTTCTGCTGCACACGATTGTCTGTTTGAATAATAGCTTGGCGCAAGTAGAACCAGAGGATGGAGAAGCCTCGCTGGCAAGGAGTCCGAACTGCTTAATCGCATAACACTAATGCAAGCCGCCAGAATTGAGCGAGTAACATCCAACAAAAAGAGTCCAGATCATGCAGGTGGCGGTTTACTTCACTGCATTTTATTATCGACCTGAGGGTGTCACCACAATGTGAGCTCCATGGACTATGTTGAATGAGGAAACGCGACATAACTGCCGGGACCTATAAGATTCCTACTTTGGGCTTGAATCCACGTATCTCGGTCGAAACAATGTCGTCCGCGTCACAATTGATCAAGTGACTTTTTTGAAAACAGTCGAGCACTCGCTGAGCCCGTCGGAACTCGGAAGACATGTAGTTACAATTTGTTTACCCAGCCCCGGCTTCTAGGGATCTCGATCGCCACTGTCCACTATGGCCATCGCCCCTCGGCGCCATCTCTCGTCTATTGATGCAGTTGTATTCAATATGGGTTCGTCGAAAGATTTGTTTCCAATATGAATTGAGAGTAACTACGAGTTGATAGTCAAGCGTAATATCACCTGGGATTGAACTCAGAGGCAGTGGATCAAGGCCGATTGTTTGTGGCCAGACTTCAAAATACATCGCCAATCATCTTTTATATACCTCTTATCCAAGCCTGCGCACCCTTGGTCATGGAATCGAAAGTCAAGACGGTATATTAATTCATGGAGATCATAATTCCTCCTATTTTCAACCACAATGAGTCCAGCTTCTGTCCTTGAACTTTCTGGCTTTCTCGCGAGGTGTTTCAATCAGTGTGAGACCACAAACATCGCTTAAGGTAGTCAAAGTCACATTTCTTCACCAAGGGGGTTCAAGGGCGTGCAGCACTGGAAACGTGCAGCCCTCCTTGAGTATCATTATGAATTCTGCGCGGACGACAACACCACAGCAAAGTAAGCCAAGGGACAATTCAAAAAGTATTACTCGAACATCATGCTGCACTTGACAGTCAGCCAGCATCCATTGATGGTATTCTGCTGAGACTTAAGGGGTAAATGACCAGCACAGAAGCAATTGCTGCATATTAGAGGCTGGCTGTCAACCTCAATCCTTTAAATATGCGGCCAAGCAATATCGAATGACGATGATGTGAAATTACGCTGTCAGAACATTCCAAGCTCTGTGAGAGTATATGAAAGACGCTTAGCTAACATGCATATGCATCATTCCTTGTCCTGGGCACTCCAGCATCAGCGAAGTACAATCAGGACACTGCCTGAATTTCTTCAAAGAGAAAGTCAAAGAATTATAAGAAATAGGCATATTGAGCTTATCCCGAAACTTAAAAGAAGCATAATGCTTAACTTTATCCAAACAAGCGAGGGTATATCTTGCAAACAAACAAGTCGCTTCCAAGGTAGGGGTATCATGCAGACTCCAAATCCCAACTCCAAGAACAGAACTCAAGAAATCACCTCTCAAACCTCCCGTACCTTTCCTGCTCCTCCTCAACATGCGCCCGATACACCTTCCTCAACTCCTCCAGCCCCGCCTCGTTCTCTCTCTCCCGCTCCCTCATCCTCGCCGCCGCCGGCCCGCTCCCTACCGCATCGATCCCAACCAACGCCTCCACCTCGATCCGCGACACGAACCGCCCGTCCCGCAGGAACAGCCCCGGGTGGCACCCCACCAGCGCCACGAGCGCGTACGCAACCAGCAGCCCCTCCAGCCCGACGAACAGTCCCTCCCCGTCCTTCGCGGACACTCCCCCCGCGTACTCCGCCACCCGGAAGCACAGCCGCCCGAAGAGGACCGCCATGGCCGACGGCACGGCCATCGTAAAGATGCGGAAGCGCCGCGGGAGCGGGACGTAGCCCGCGTCGCGGTGGAACGTGGTGTACCCGTACCGGCGGTACGAGAGCGCCGCGCGGACGAGGACGGAGGCGAGCAGGAGCGCGGCGGCGATGAGGGTCGCGAGCTGGAGTGCCAGGCCTGCTGTGACGAGCTTGGCGCCGGCGGGGGTGGGGGTGTAGGAAGGCGTTTTGGTGTCGGTGAGGATGGCGGAGGGGGCGCTGCTGAAGCTGAGCGCGAGGCCGGCGAGTTGGAGTGCAAGGGCGAGGAGGTCTGCGGGGAGGAGGAGCGCGGCGTAGAGGTGTGCTGGGAGGATGGAGTGTTCTGTGCCGAGTGTGTGGACCATGGGGCCGAGGGAGACGTAGATGCTGGATGGGGTCTGTTAGCAGCCTTTCTAAGTCTGACTTATGGGAAAGAGGGAGAAACATACCTTGACGTGAGGAATACAGGGGCGACGGTGAGAAGTGCTTTGCCTTGCATGAAGGGGTACATCGCCCAGGGATCGCTCCAGCCCGCGAGACGGTCCGCCCAGCCGATGACCTCAAGCGCGCATGCCAGTGTGACTAACATGGCGAACGGCGTCGTCGCCGAGTGTTTTTGTTGTTGTGTCTGGGAGGCCCGGACTGTGATGGCCGCGTTGGCGATGAGGCAGACTGAGGAGATGGCGATGAAGATGGCGGGGGCCTCTTGGCTGGGCCGGTAGCCGTAGGGAGACGTCGAGACGGAACATGTTGTTAGGGTGCAGGGTTGTGACATGTTTGCGACCTTGCAGCTTGTCGTCTATTGGGATGTTGTTGTGGGATGACACAACGAGGAGGCGTGATCGAGATGGTGGTGCGATGTCATTCAAAGAGACGGCTCGGTGGTCAGACAAAAGACTGGAGAAGGGTTGCAATCATGCCATCTCTATATTGGATGCCTAGTAGTCTTTATACGCTCGCGACATCGAGGCTTCGACTGAATGCCCGTACCAGACCGTTGGGAAAATCATCGTGGCCGTGTCTCCCTGACCGTCGCCGACCCGATCCCGCGGTACGTTGGTTGGGTGCTATTGTTAGAAACAGCGGGCATGCAGTGAGCAAAAAGAGACAGATTCCTGCGGGGGAAAACACACTGGAAGGAAGTGGCAGTGGCAGCAGATCCCCACTACTCCGGCGCCGGGCGTGCTGCGCAAAAACAGTGGGGACACGGCCGGGCATGCTCGCCGGGGCGTCGTTTCTTGCTTTAGGCACCCGGCAATCGGACCTAAGTATTAATGGAGAATCTCTCTCGAATCCCTTGTATCCAGATGTTCGAAATTTGAGATCCGGAGCCAGTCTCCTCTTTCACGAAGCTTGAAATGAACGTCTGTCTGGATCGTAATGGCAGCCTGGACTAGCCCCAGCAATTAAGCTTATTCGGGTGTTTCCCAACACGTTGCCCCCTGTTCGTTGCAAATAGCGGCTGCCTGCAGCGGAGTAGGGACAAGCACCAACAACACATTGGGAGCTTGCTGCGGCGCGGCACAATCACCTTGGCGTCTGTCTGTCCGTCTCTCTCTATTCCTCTTCCCCGCGCCAATGCTGCTTACCGCCTGTCGCGCTCAGCCTCCCTGCCGGATCCCTAAACCTCTCATTCGCTTGACTGGCCCCGGAGAGAAGGAAATTGTTTGTTGATTGGTCTTTCTCACGCGCAGCACTGCCTGCTTCTGTGTTCCCGCTAACGGCGGCAAAACTGCACTTCTCTTTTTATTCTTATCTGCGGCGTGTCGGTTGCTTGGGTTTTGGTCTATCAGCTTGAGGGATGCTTGACCGAGAGGGCCCGACGTCATCCTTGTTGGTTCGCTCATATGGTGAGCCGCTTCCGTCACGCGCTGTCTAGCTATCGCCAAAGTGCGCAGTCATTGTCTTTGTTAAAGCCTCTTCCACCGCGCGGGCATTCAGTCTCGTCACTTGCGAGAAGACCAAGTTCACAGGTAATGGCGGTGAGATGGGAGTAAATCTTTGAAAACATTATAATTATGTACTATTGAAGATTGCCAAGTCCGGCTAATGTCGTGGAGGAAATTTACCCATCCTCGGTTTTCCATAGTCATGAGTATCTGTATTCCTCCCCAAATTCCTTTTCATAAACGAAGGTGTTCGTCTAAGGCGCAAAAGCGCCATCCAGTAAATCTCTACTCCGAAGCATAGTTCGCTTGAAATAAAATAAAAAGGTATCTGGCACTAATCTAAAGTCTTAAGAAGAGAAGGAACGGACAGAGCTGCCCGGTGTCATGACGGGTTTACACGCCGGGGCGGGTGAACATGGAGCCTTGGGGCCAGTTGCCCAGACCGGCGGGGTCACCGCCGATGCGGACGTAGATACCGATGCCTGGCATGCCGTTGTCGATGACGAAGAACTGGTACCAACCCGGAGGCGCGACACCGGCGTTGGGCGGCGCGGTGACAGTGCAGCTCAAGGCGCCGCACGAGACGGCAGGGAAGATTGTGCGGGCGCCCATAGAGTTACCGTGGGTCGAGGACACGGCACCGAGAAGGGAGACCTTGATCACGCCGTTGGGCTTGCTTCCAAGGGAGAAAGTGACAGTTTGACCGTACGCCCAGTCGGTGTTGGTGACATTGAATGTCGGGCGCGGCTTGCCGCTGAGGAGGTACGGAGGGCTGAACTTCTCGACGCGGTACTCCTGGGGGTTGACGCCATCTTCGGGATCGGAGCCACTGACCAGGACACTGCCGTCGAGCAGGGTGATGGACTCGGAGTGGTAGAGACGGGAGATGGTGGTGTTCGCCATGACCGTGATGCGCGAGCCGACAGGCTTCTCGGGGTCGTATAGGAGGGCCATGTGGTTGGGGAAAGCAGCCAGGCCGAAGCCGGCGACACCTTGCATGGCACCGTTGTTAATCAGGTAAGTGCCGTCAGGAAGAGGCGCGATGCAAGACATGACACGGCGGGTGGGCATGCGCTCAATTGTCCAGGTTGGGTTGGTGGCCTCGGGCTGGATGGTGACACAGTTGTCCAGGACAATATTGGCGCCAGCTCCAGAGCCACCGCAGATGAGGATGCCGAGCGGATCAGTGTAAGGGGCCTTCTGAGGCAGGAGGACAGCCGTGCCCTCAAGAGGATAGGAACGTCCTCCCAGAGGATTGTTGACCGAGCCTGGAATCTTGGGCAACAGAGTCTTGGTGGCGAAGGTGTTTCTGTCCAAGATTCTGGCCTCGTTCCAGTAGGCGACAAAGATGTCCTGGCTGGGCAGAACGGCGACGAATGGGTACAAGTTGTTGGGGTCGCTCTTCTGAAGCCAGTCCATGTAGAGAGGAGCAGTGCCCGTGTAGGGCAAGACCTCAATCGTAGGAACAGCTGCGCCGTTGGATCCTTCCTCGCCACCAATAACCATGATGGAGCCGTTGGCCATGACGAGAGCGGACGGGTACCAGCGACCTTGCTGAAGCTTGAGAGAGGGGTCCTCCTGCCAGTCCGTGGTACCGTTCACGCCGGGAGATCCACTGGGGTTGTAGAGACGAACACCATAGGTAGAATCACCGGACCAACCTCCAATATTCATCTGGCGACCGTTCTTGTCAGGGAGCGTGAGCCCGGCAGAGCAGAAGATATCCGTCTTGACGTGCATTTCTCTCCAGGCCTTGTTCAGATCGGGAGCCAGAACGGGGTCCAACTCGTATGCGCCAGTCGAGTTTGGCGGACCAGTTCCCCACTTCTCAAGGAAGGTGACCTTGCCTTTGATAGTCTCCATGGTCATCAAAGGAATGCACTTGCCGCCGATGAACAGATCGTAGCTTCCAGCATCATTGCCTGTGGCATAGGTCCAGTTGTACAGAGCCGGGCCGGTCCAGAAGTACGTCGACATGACAGCGAGACCACCGCAAATGCCAGTAGCGTTGCCGGCGCAGCTGATACTGCAACGAGATTCATCGACGAAGGTGGCACCGGCTGTGACAATGTTGGCAGGATCACCGCAGTAGCACTCCTCGCCGTATTCAAGACCAGCTGCCATGTAGCCGAATTTAGCGCATGCGTCCAAGCACATACCAGCTGTCATGGTGCCAGCAAAGATGGTCTGCGTGGCAAAGGTACGCTTGTTGTTGACGTTGTCCGTGACGCACCCTTCGTAGGTCCAAGAACCGTTAAGTCCACTGCGCTGAGGAGCCGGAGGTGCGTACGTCTGAGGAGTGCCCTTTGAGTAAATTGTCATGCGGTTGCCGCCTCCGCACATCTGGGCAGAGTTGCCACCACAGGGAGTGTTGCAACTGGTCTGGTCAGAGGCAACAACACCGCCACCATAGATGGCGTTACCGCAGAAGCATTGAGTGTGATACTCGGAGCCAGAAACCGTGTAGCCGTTGGCGGCGCAGTAGTTGACGCAGGACTGGACAGTCATTTTTGGGTCATCGGGAGCTTGGACAGGAAGGATACGGCCATTGGCATTATCCACCCAGCAGCCCTGGCTCGTCCACCCTGCAGGGAAGCCGGTAGATGAGGGAGACGCCGTAGATGATGTTGCGGCGGTCGCCGATCCACTAGCGGACGAAGTCGAAGACCCGACAGTCGACGAGGAAGAGACAGACTGCTTGGCGGTGCCGATGGTGTACACGGAAAGGCGGTTGCCATTACCACAGTACTGGAACTTGTTGCCGGAGCAGGTCATGGAGCAATCGCTCGAAGGGGCGATTGCGGAACCAGCGGAGAAGGTATTTCCACACCAGCACTCACGGGACCACTCCAAGCCTGCAAAAGTGTAGCCAGCACCACCACAGAACGCTACGCATTTCTCAATGGTCATGGCATCGTCGCCGAAGTTGGTCGAAGGGAGGGCGCGAGCGTTGGAGGCCTCGGTCTGGCATCCGTAGTAGCTCCAGTTGCCGACGGTCCCCGGCTGGCTAGGGCCGGTGGGTGTAGGGGTAGCAGAGCTGATGCTGCTGCTCGAGGAGCTGATCACTGAGGTCGCGCTGGTGAGGGAGCTCACAAATGAGGAGCTAGAGCTGCTGCTGACGGCAGCGGCAGTCAAACTGCTGCTGGCCGAGCTGCTTGGGCTAACGAAGGCGCTACTTGAAGTACTAGAGCTGCTGATGACCGCAGCGGCGGTCAAACTGCTACTGGCCGAAGTGCTGGACACAGCAGAGCTGCTGCTAGTAGGAATGATGGTGCTGCTGGAAGAGAAAACAGAGCTGGAGCTGGACCTAATAGTGGAGCTGCTGGAGAAAGCGATCGAACTCGAGCTAGACGTCGAAGAGCTAGTCGGCGCTGCGCTCGATGTGGAAGATGGCAAGGGCAGGTACGAATGCTTGTAGTCATAGACGTTCAAGCGGTTGGGGCCACCGCAATACTCAGAAGAGTTACCGTTGCAAACCATGTTGCAGCCATCCACAACGGAAGCACCGCCATTTGCAGGGCTGTTACCGCAGTCTAAAACGCATTGTTAGGAGAACGGCATGACGACGAACATGACAAGAACTTACAGCACTCGCCGGCGTACTCAACACCTGCAAGGATGAAACCGAGGTTCTGGCAAGCAGCAGTGCACTTGGCAACAGTCATGGCGCCAGTGACGCCAACACCATTCGTGAGCGCACGACCCCCTGTACCCTCGCTGTTACGATGTTAGCCTCAAGTTGTGGTGGGCAAAGCAACGTTGACTCACGAATAGCATCCGATGGAAGACCAATCACCAGGGCCAGGGTTGACCGAAGGCCCAACAATGAGGGAGGTATGGTAGAGCGTGAGACGATTGGGACCACCGCAAGGCTGGGTTGCGTTTCCATTGCAAGGGGTAGTGCAGTCGGCGTCGGCGGCCTGAATGCCGTTCTTGGCCAGAGCATTGCCGCAGTAACATTCGCCATAGTACTCGGTTCCGGCGTAGGCGAAGCCCTTGCTGAAGCAGAATTGCGTGCATAGCTCATTCGTCATCGTGTTGCCGTTGGTAGTGGCATCGCTGATAGTTCGGCCAACATCGCTAGAACCCAGTCAGTGAGTCGCTCTGATTCAACAGACAGGTCCCGTACACATAGCAACCCTGAAGTTGGTATCCATTTGATGTGGTTGGGGGAGCTTGGAGGGCTCGCTTGTGCAGGCCTGGGGAATAAGCCGCAGCATTTGCAAGAGAGAACGTGGAAGCAATAACGAATGTCAACTGTGAGGCCCTCATGGTAGCGAGTGTGTGCCAAGAGGTAGAAACCAACACGAAAGCAAGTAAAAGAGTGTAAAGGAGTGTGTGGTGAGATGGAAGAGAACAACTCGTGATGGTCCGGGAACCATGAAGCTATATATTCTCTCGACTCAAAGCGCAGGCGAACCTGAACTGACGGGAGGCCAAAGCGAACATGGAGAAGCATTAGACGCGGATAGACCTAAGCAGGCCCCGGCCGTGACCTCCCACTTGGGAGATGTGATCTCCCCCATCGTACACTAGGGGGCAACGAGATAAGTCCATTGGGAGAGGGGCCATGGGCGGGACTAGAGGATGCCATGCTCGCATGGGGCTGGCTAAGAAACCAGCAAGGCTAGCCGGGCGAGCTAGACGACAACGAATTGCGCTTGCAAGGCGTGGTGTGTAAAGCAACTGAATGGGCGAGACGCGGGTACTTCGTCCCTCGCATGGCTTCCGTGGTGTGGGAAGGGCTTGGGACGGGATAGATGGGTGAGACGGCGAGGCTTGGGCTGAGAGCGAGACGAGAACCGATGCTGGCCAACGGCCTGGGGTGAGCTGAAGTTGGAAGATGGTTCTCCGGACAGAAAACGAACATGTCTAGGCGCTAAACCATTAATAACACCCCATCTCTTTGTGCCAGAGCCCTACCCCAAGGCCCCGTCACCCGCCGTTGAGCGTTATTAGCGGTGCCGTTGTGCCGTTGTCGCCCTCAGCCTGAGCCTGACCATCGGCATAGCACGTCTCTTTCACTCAGCTTAAGTGAGTCGCATCGTGAAGCTGCCCAGCAACACGAGAAGCTACACCAACTTGAGAGACCAAGGCCCAACCGGGAGGCCGGGTTCCGCAGGCGAGCGCGAAGAGGCGAAGAACCGCTGGGCTTCGGCCTATTTCATCATTCGAACGATTGCCACACGCACGCGGAAATTGGCAAATAAAGTAGGAAGCGGCAGTGAGAGATGGGAAAGGAGGTCAGAATTTGGTGGTGTGCACGTCTCTCTTCTCCTGTGCGTGTTTTCCTCAAGATCCAATGCCATCGCCCTCTGGGGATCAGGGTCGCGCGCAAGTGGGGCGACCCCTACAGGGGTTCATGTGTACGTACCCGATAGCTTATCCATTTCTCCATCTGGTAAGCTTAGTTTTCGGCCCAGGGTCAGGGAGCAGGGGTCAAGGGACGACTCGACCATCACTTCTCCCATATTGCCATTCTTGGTTATTCTCTCTGCTAAGCGCTCTGGGGAAAAGTTGCAAACTTGCCGAGTAATGCCGACAAGAAACTTCGGGTGCTCTGCGAGAAGGCCCATGGGCACGAGGCTTGGGCTTCGGAGAAGATCTACGGTGAACAGAGGTGTTTTGGGCGTCTAAGTGTTCGCTACAGACCGGGTAATCCGGTTCCAGCTCTTCGGTATTGACGACGGCGTGCGCACCCAGGCCGCGTTCTTTCGTGATCACCGTCTATCGATGGCTGGATCGAGGTGCTGGGTCACATCCATGCCACCGAAGACGGCATCCCGAGGCGTTGAAAATAGTCTTGCAGTACACCCATATCACCCATAGGTATGTTGGTGGCGAGTATATCGATTCTCTTCCGACAATGTATTGCTTTCGCTGTCTCAAGCGCCTTGGAAGGATGGCGTTTCTGCCCGTCAGTCAGTCTCTTGGCGTTCGATACTGTGGACAACAAGACCGTCGGCCAGAGTCACAGAGACTTCATGAAATACCATGACAACCCCAGGTCTTGGCTAAGGTCTTGGGAGTACGGCTTCGTACCTGCCAAGAAACGTCAACCTCTTCTCGTTCCCCCGGGAATGAGAGAGGCAGAGTGCAGCCGTGATGTGCCAAGAGCCGATACCCGGCGAGCCATTGTCCAGTTGCAGTATCGCGCATGGCCAATGCTCTTTGTCAGCTGCTGCCAGTGAGGAAGGATACGAGATCGTGACACTGGAGAGATGGGACGAGTCAAGAGGAGTCGGCTCCATCTTCGTTTCTTTGACAGGAGACCTGCAGGCGGCAGGGGCCGATGCACAAGATCTCTGGTGATCCGTGTGCTCCGCGTTCCCCTGCATGGCCCCACTATGCAGTCAGCACGTACACCTTCAGACTAGTCCAAATCGGGAATCACAACAGGGGCGGCAAGCTCGGGTCGTGTGTTCGTTCATGCTCTTTCTCTTTCCTCTTCTCGCATTCGTCAGCTCACCAAATGACTTCCTTCCGCCTCAGTCCGATGGTGCCTTCTCGGACCTGACTTATCTCAATCGAGGTAGGAAGGCTCCACCTGACACTCAAACGACTAGCGCATCCTTGCAGTCGGCATCTCTCTGGAGAGCTTACCATTTCTCCTGCGCAGGCTTCGTCACTCAGCTCCCTCCCACGCCTTACCATTGACAAGAAGATGGCGCAACCGAGTCCAAAGAATTTCACGGTTTCAGTCCATTGCTGATGACTTCAGAAAAATTTCTGTCTCTCCGTCAACGCTTGAGCCCATCCAAAGATGACAGGCATCGTGGCAGCGCAACGTGTCGTGTCATCCTAGTCAGCCTTAGGGAAAGCCCTCGTTCTTGATCACCACCGATCTGTTGTGCAATGCTGCACACGGCTACACATTGAGTTGCTTATTCTCCGTCAATCACGAGGACGAACAAGTGGTCTGCTCTCTTCGGCGGAATCGCCAATACTTTCCCCCCTTTGGGGCCCGAAAACCCCTGGTCCCAGTACGGCTCTGTCGCTTCCTCCCGATAATGGAAACAACCATCGCGAACAAGCCACGAGGGGCTATCCCTCCTGCGCCGCCCTTCTCGAAGGAGAGCGCCTAACAAGCAACTGTCCTAGATGGATCTCCTTGTGGTCCCCATATCGATAAGGGGGTGCACAGGAGAGCGATAACAACCAACAACTTGGTTGCCCCTCTCATGGCCGCGGAACCTCAGCAGCCACATTATTAGTCAAACGGCCAAGCCATCGTGGCTTGTCTAAAACAGACGTTGACTCTATTTGAACCGACTAGCAGTCCAGCCCCCTCAATAGCGCAGCCATTCTGCCAGCCTGGAGCAAACATCGCTGCTTGCCCACGGCAAACTCTGGCCAGTCGGAAGTTGCGTTCTGCGTTGCCTTCACGATACAAGCGGGTGCTCTGCCCTTCGGCTAACCATTGCCACCCCTACTAATTGTCCCCGCCTATGCTTGGGCTGTCTAGGGGGTAACGATGTGGACTTGTCGCCAAGTCGGCCAACGTTGTGCCAGGATACTGTCAGACGTGCATTAGTCGAGCTCTCGAAGCCGCGACCAGTCATTTGGCTACCAAACTCCATCCAGCATCTTGTCTCATGACGCCTTCCGGCAGCATGAGATCTGCCGAATCCCACGCTCTCTTGCTGACTACGGGACACACCATCAATGCTCCTGCTTTAGTACGCTGACATCATGCAACCGCGGGCGTCAAACCAGTGGCATATCCAGAGAAATCAGCCGTACCTGGCTACTGCCTATCGAGCCACCTTAACACTTACAACACCTCCCAGCCACCCTCTTAGCGCACAAAGATAACCACATGGGTCAGTCCGGGATCCTTCACATTCGAACCCCGATCCCAGCAACTGCCGTTATTGTTTCTTTCTTGCTCTTGGCCAAGGCTGAGTTCACAACGACAGCTTAAGCACCATCGGTCTACCTAGTCTTCCAGCTCTCAGCTTTTTGCCGCATCCCAATGGTTTGGAAATCACACGGCGCCGGCCAACGTTAGTGGCCAACGCCATCGCGCGGTTCAAATTAAGGACTAATATAGCCCTCACCAGCGCCCATTAGCAAGGGGCGAGGTCTTTGCAAGCCAACGTTCTATTTCTTGGGTTCTAGGCTGCAGCCGCTGCTTGCCGAGCCGTAGACTCATATCCTCTGGGCAGCTTACTTATCTTGTCAGGAGTTAGCGCCTAGTATCCGACGCTAAAGCACCCTGAAGAATACGGCATATTCAACGTATCCCACAGAAACCCTGAAGCACTCGTTTCCGGAACGGCGGTCTTCAGTTACGTTGCTTTTCCTTCTTGGGATACGCAGGATCCTGCAGCCATTTGCTTCTGCTATGTCTAGGGCTCGGAAAGGCCTCTTATCTTAACCGATCGGAGCTGTAGGCATCGGGAATGTGATCCTTCCGTTTGAGTTCGACTTCCAGACGGAAAACAGGAATCGTTTGCCGCAGGAAACAACGTTAGCCCAAACCATAGTCTCTTCGCTTCCATACATATCGTTCGATCGGGGCCCTGCAACTCTTGAGGGGGATGCTCCGACTTTCACGGCTCTTGAAGCAAAGACCAAGACTTTGACAGCAGTGAAGGGCTCAATGCTAGATGCCATATGGGTAAGCAGCCTGACAGCCGCCTTGGCAAATAGACGGGTTTGCTCCACTTCGAGTCACTATCGTCAGAGGCACAGACTGGAAAGCTGGCGCGTACACTCTACCACTGCTCCTGGGCTACTGGTTTGTACACATCTAAGTGACTGCCGAGGGCACGCAGACCACAGACAGCCTGCCGTCTAGCGATTCTCAATCTGGTCCATCCCGTTCACACACCCCTTCTTCTTGCCAATGGCGCGCCTTAGTGGCCGCTCATCTCATCTCCACATTCCCAATCTCTCGGAGATGGCTTTCCAACTTCATTGGGCTGAGTTCACAGCCACATCCATAGATGAGGATTGCGCACGTTGCGCAAGCCGCTTGGCATCCACGTCGTCGCGCAGAAACCTCTTGGCCATGCAGCCTCTTGCCAAGTGACTCGATCGGTGTCGTTCTTGGCTCTCAACACGTGAGATTCTGGTGATACCAAGCTTTGTGGCAGCTGCACCACCACCGCCCAGAAGGCAGACATTGGCTTTTCAGCCCACGAGAATATTTACGTCAGACTTTTTAATGCAGGGCTTAGGCTGGTGTGCATGTCATCCGCCACGGTGAGGGGAGCTGTACGCAGCTTGGCAGCGCGTCGAGCTTAAAGGGTGCGATGCCCGCCAAC